TGATAATTCTCTACTTCTTAACTTATCTCATTTTGCTCACTGTGAGAATTAGAGGCTTTCCTCCATTATTTAATCTAACCCCCAAACAGTGGTTGATTTATTGTTATTATTTTAAAATCTGAAGTAATAGAATCTCTTTCATGAAACACAACCCCATCCCCTGGCTAAGGCATAAAACTTCAGAGTTAACAGACTCCCCCGAATTCTATCCATGAACTTCTAATTTAACAACCCCCAAATCTGCCAGCTTATTTTTTAAATTTTACATATATATGTATATATATGTGTATATATGTGTGTGTGTGTGTGTATGTGTGTGTGTATATATATATATAAAATAGACATGGACTTTGAAAAGATAGGTCAATTATTTTGGTAATGTAAGACAAGTGATGGTTTTAGAACAAACAATGCCATTCACTGTCTGAGAGCAACCACAGTATTATAATTTTCAGGAATCCAGTTTTTAATTTTCTCACCCTGCAGGATCAATTTGCCTTAAGGGTTAAATTAAAAACTATAAACAGTCATTAAAACACAAAACGACCATGGTAGTTAACCGGATATTAAGAAAAAAAACCACATCTGTTTTAGAGTTGTGTTCCATTGCAAGTTTGAGAACATCAATTTCAAGAACCTGCTTTTATGGTATGCCCTTAAGCCAAGAACACCAGGTTACAATCAAGAAAAGGAAGGTAAGAAGTCCCATAAACGGACTCTTCCTGTTTCTAGGATTCTCTTTCCTAATTCAAAAGCAGTCAATAGAGTTGGATTTGCTACATTGTCTTGAAAGGTAAGCAGTCATTACTATTTGCACATTAATAATTGTACTATTCTGATAATTAGGTACGTTGACCAAAAGAGGAACAAAGGAAACACATTTCTTTGCTGTGTGTCTGGTGTTAAATAACAAATACTAGATTTAGTGGCTTCTCAATATACATGGAATTTGAAGCTTGCAGAGAATCTGATTTTTCTAATTTAAGCCCTTTTTCAAACTCCAGCATGTCTGAGAGTGTACATCTTAAATAACCAATTTGTAATAAATTTAATCAGCTAGAAAACAAGTGTAACTTTTGCAACTTTTCAAAAACACATATCTCTGGGCATCAGTGAAAACTCTTCCCTCTACAGTAAGCCTAATGAAGTGCAACTAAAAATAACAGTCATCAACTGTGGTTTTAAAGGCAGTATTTCAACATAATCAAATGTGTCAAATATTCATCCTTACAGCTTCTTATGCTGTGGGTTATAAGTAAGTTTAATTTCTTGGGAATGACTGAACATAACCCACTTGGGGCTCTGCCATCTGTGAATTACTTATATGTGAACACTATTTAAGAGATGGAAATTTTGATTGTTTTTTCTTCCCGTGGATATTGTACTGAAACACAATTGAACGTGGATTTTTAAACAATTATTTTTCATATTAGTTGCTATATGGCTACATTATCACATGCTCCCCGAATTCACCATCACTTATCAAATCAGAGGAATCAAGAATGGTGTAGCTGAAGTTGTGAAGGAAGCACCAAGTACAAAATCCTAGAGATGGAAAAGAATATGAAGTATCAGTGTCCATAGCTCCAGGCCCAGGTCCCTATCACACAGAACCTCCTCTGCAGGGTGCCAGTGAAAGAGTTGTGGTTGTTAGGTTCCCAAGGTTTCCTTGAAAGGTTGCTTCTCTTATCAGTGAGCGAAAAATAAAAGTGAGTACAGGGCTATATATAGGGTGCCACGTAACTTATCATCCGTACACGGGCACCTCTGAGAGTTCGTGAAAACATTATTAATAATTATGCCAGAACAACAGGCACTAACCAGGACTGCCCTAGGCAAACCGAATCGCACTGTTGCCCAAGAGATGATATGACGCTCAAAGATCTTCCCCAGACTCAAACCACCTCATTAATGCTATACCCAATTTTGCTTCTGTCTAGAGCTGCACTGTCCAATAAAACACAGTAAGAACCACAAATAGAATTTTAAATTTTCTAGTAGCCATGTAAATAAAAAAAAGTACAAATAGGTGAAAATAATTTTAAGAATATATTTTATTCAACCCAGTATACCTAATATATTATCATTTCCACATATAGTCAATATAACAATTATTGAGATCTTTTGTGTTATTTTGTTCATGCTTCAGTCTTTGAAATCCAGTGTGTGTATTACATTTTAAGTACATTTACATTTGGCTCAGACACATTTCAAGAGCTCAGTAACCACATGTGGCTAGTGGCTACTATACCGGACAGTGTAGATCTAAGCATTCCACAAGTTTGGATATGCAGGGATATATTAACAGTTATAATACACATACATACACACACACACACATCTTCCTTCTAGTAAAAATAAACACACCTAAGTGTCTTTATTAATGTTTGTATAATAAGACAGGTAAACTATCTGTCTCTTGCCTGTGGTGAACCAGACCTTGGAGCAGATAGACTGGATTTAAACCAGCATTTACCTGGTAGATGCTCTTTGGGGAACGGAGAAAATTGCTGAGTCAGATTAATTATTATTAATTATTAAGGTGGTTAATTTCTAAGAACTTATAGGACTCTGCCTAGACTTGCATGTGTCTTACATTCCTAAGTCCAAAACATATACACTGAGCATCTTCCATGTACTTGGCCCTAGATAAAGATACATAAGGCACAACGTCTGTATATCGGGATGTTAAAGCTTAAAGTATTCACGGAGATTATTTTACAATTGAAGCAAGAGACACCTAAGATGTGCCACTATTCCATGCAAGGGCAAGGACCAGACTCCACTTTTTGGGTCTGTGGTCTGTACTCCATCATCCACAGAGGACACTATGAGGAAAGGAAGAAATATGTGTTTCCTTTTCACTGTTGATACACAGGAACTAAGCCCATATTTGATCACTTGCATAAGGCACAAGGATTTGGGGCACCAGCATTTATTCTTGAATTGTGATATGCATCTTTGCTAGTAATAATATGTCTTGCTGCCCCATACCCCAACTTGGAACTCACTGATGTCATATTTTGGTGAGGCTACAGCATTTACCAGATGGACAGTAGCCATCATTTCCTCTAGGGAAAGTAACATTGATGTCATTTTAATTAGTTTAAGGCCACAGCCTAAGTGATAGAAACATGGAAATAAACATTGGAGGACTGATATGGTTAAGGTTTCTGTCCCCACACAAACCACATCTTGAATTGTAAACCAAATTGCAATCCCCACATGTTGGGGCCGGGACCCTGTGGGAGGTGACTGTATCATGGGCTCAGTCCTCCCATGCTGTTCTCATGATAGTGAGTGAGTTCTCATGAGATTTGATGGTTTTACAAGGGGTTCTTCCCCCTTCACTCTGCACTTCTCTCTCCTGCCTCCTTGGGAAGAAGGACGTGTTTGCTTCCCCTTCCACCATGATTTTAAGTTTCCAGAGGCCTCATCAGCCATGCAGAACTGTGAGTCAGTTAAACCTCTTTCCTTTATAAATTACCCTGTCTCAGGTATTTCTTTATAGCAGTGTGAAAATGCGCAAATACAGGGACTTTCTCCATGCAAACAATGCTAATATATTAATTAGACACACTCTCATTTTAGGGTACACAGACACACAGACATCATGAAAATAAAAACTAAATTGTAGTTCTGTTCTTTTATGTAATTCTTCTCTCACTGAATAGCTGTCTTCCCCCAATCGAACATAATTAGACTCAACATGGTCTCAACCAGTGTGTGTTTTAAAAAATGTCATGCCACATACCAGTTTTGTTTGTACTTAAATTAAAATAGAACACATACACCTGATTTTTTATTAATGTTCCATTAAATATATTTCCTTAGGATAGAGTTTTAAATAGGTTAGTGGAAAAACATTACATCTAAAATACTTTCAAGACATTTGCTTTCTTTTATAATAAAATAAATATGCCAAAATATTGCCACAAATCTATTAGCAAAGAGCTAATGATTTGAAATAGTGACTCCTATCTCATACATATTGACACGGCTCTTGATAAGAATATTTTATACCAAACCAGAAGAATATGTTTAACTCATTTCAGCATCTGTATATACCCATAAATGATGTGTTTATTTTTTCTTAAGGCACTATAGACAGTGAGACTTAAAGTGAGAAAGAGTCTTGCTTTTAGGGAATTTTTAGTAAGGTTATGTTATCGAAGATTACCTATTGCAATGGTATATAGTCATTAGCCAAAATTGAATTCTTAGGCTATCTGAGAGAATTATCCACAATTACAGCTCTTCAAAGCAACTGAGGATTTAGCAAGAAGATCCCACAGTCCTATATGGAAGGAGAATATCATCTCTTCAGGAAATTATTCTCCACTTAACCTATCAGTTATAAGTATATCCGGTTATAAGCACTTTTGGTCAATGATTTTGTTTTTCTTCAATCTGAATGCTGAGTTCTACAAATCCAGTCTTGGCACCACATTTTCGTGATATTGGGAACTTGAAAATGTACACCACTCACCATGGTATGGCTTTGCAAAGCACTGAGTTAACACAGCAAAAATACAACGATATTCTTGGACATTATGAAACAGGAAGATGAAGAAAATGTAACAGTATAGGATGCTGGCCAGAAGCAAGGATTTTGGAGTCAGAACACTTCGGTGAAATTCCTTGCTTTGCCACTTACTAGCTATGTAACCTTAAACAAATTGCTAAACCGTCCTCTGCCTCAATTTCATTATCAGTTAAATGGAGATAAAAACATGTGCTTACCTTGATGTGGAAGTTTAGATGATTTAATATAAAACAAGTAAAATAGTACTTGGCACATAATCAGTGCCATATACATAATAGCTATCACTATATATACAAGTAACAGCCCATACTAGCTATTAGTATAACTAATACTATAGATACTATCAAAAGATCTCTATCTAGTTATCAATGTATTTAAAACTGCAAAGTCCCACTTAACCTATGGGTACAGCGCTTTGATCTTTCATTAGAAATAGAAACAGCAGGATACCTACTGGAACAACCGGTTTCAGACTCTGGCCACCAGGGTGTGAAGCGCCTGGCTGGGTATCAGCAGGAGGGCCTGGCACTGGGTCACTGCTTCTCCTCACCAGCAGTGGAGTGCCTGGAAGACAAAGTGAGAGGTGAGAGGTCAAAAGAACCCTGGGGTGAAGAGAGTGCATGACACAATGCACTTTAATTAAAAAGGTTTACAACATGCTTTTATGTAAAAACATTCTATTTCCAAGGATGCTTGTAAATTAATCCATTTAATGATCTTTTGTCATCTACTTATAGATTGACACATGGAAACAAAATCTTTCGACTCTCATCTTTCCCCAGTTGCATTTCAAAACAAGCCATTGCATTTAACAGAAACTGTTAGGCAGTGCACTAGTTGACTGTGTACAATGTAAAAACTGATCTAGAAAATATACGTGAATATTAAAAAGAATGATTATCTAGGAGACGAATGAAGAGATTCACACAGTCAGTGTAATTTGCTATTCAATAGAGCTGGAAGTATAGTTAATACTGCCATTTGGTGCTTTCCAAATCTTTTGAATGATGATATAGACCAAAATAAATTATTTACTGGGGTTATAACATTAATGCCTATTTAAGTACACAAAGAAATTGCTTCCATTCTCTTCCTCTTCTCCTAAAGTAGATAGAACTGATAAAGAAAATAAGTTAGTTCTTCTAAAAATATATCCTGATTTCTTTTTAATTTAATGAAAGCTTCCACTATTAAATATTTGAGTCAGTTATTAAATTCTGAAAAAAGATCATACTATCAGAAAGTTCAAATGAAATTCAACCTTAGCAGAGCCAGCGGCCTAACTGCTCTGACTGCAATTAGGCCTAAAATAATTTGTTTCATACAAAATTGGCCACTATAGAGAAAAATCTCAAAAAAAAAAATCTGCTTGTGGTTTAAAAATCACTCTCATATAAAAATTAACGTTTTATTTTTGTACTTTTGGGAAAAGAGTAGAAAACAGTTGAAATGCAATTTCTCTTTTCTCAATATTCTGAAAATAATTCCCCAAACCTCTGAAGCGATTCCAGTTTAAAGGAACATTTTTCATCCACTTTGTAGGTTATTTACAAACCTGGTCGTTATATGTGCTTTAACATTCTTAGTTTGTACAAAACAAAGAACTGCAAATATTTTTTATCTTTGTCCAGATAGAACTTGCTTTAAAAACACACACACACACACACACACACACACAAACTTCTTTCATGATAAGAAATTAACATGCTACTTAGGACACAGACCTATGCCAAAAGCAATTATAAAGTCCAAGTTCACTTTCCTTTATTTCTTTTTTATTAAGAGACATCACTACATTTTTCACCATCCATCCACCTCCATCTCAAACATTTCTTAACCAACGGACATACCAATAATTGTACAGTTGGCAATGGTTCTTTGAAATAAAACATTAAAAAAAAAAAAACAAAAAAACAAGAAGAGTAGAAGTAAGAAAAAGTACCATAAAATTTCAAGAAAGTAGGATCACATACCACTACCTTTTTCCCTCCCTTAGGTGATCTGAAGACTAAGTTCCTTTCAGATTAAGCCCCTCGATTACCAGCAACATGAAATGAACAAGTCAGTCTAAATGCAATATCCTCAGAAGCAACACATTATCTTTAAAATTAAGAAAATGGGGCAAAATTCATGAACTCTGGTTTATTTCCAAACATTTAATCAGGCCAGTAAATTCTTGAATGGGAGAAAACAAACAAAAAGTAAAATATATGGAGAGAGAGAGTGTATGTGTATGTGTATGTGTATGTGTGAGAGAGACATGGTTTTTCTTAGGTAATAAATACATTTTCCTTAAAAAAGCTACGTTAGGTAATTTTCCTTCAAATTTAAGGACACATGCCTATGAGTCCTTATTCACTGTATCTGCTTTTTAAATAATAACATGTTAAAATATTTAAGATACAATTTTATAATAATATGTATTCATGCCAGGCACGGTAGCTTACACCTATAATCCTAGCACTTTGGGAGGTCAAGGCAAGTGGACCACTGGAGGTCAGGAGTTTGAGACCAGCCTGGCCATCATAGTGAAACCCTGTCTCTACTAAAAATACAAAAATTAGCCAGGCGTGGTGGTACACAACTGTAATCCCAGCTATACAGGAGGCTGAGGCAGGAGAATCACTTGAACCCGGGAGGCAGAAGTTGTAGTGAGTGCAGATTACGCCACTGAACCTGGAAGACAGAGTGAGACTCTGTCTCAAAATAATAATAATAATAAGCATTCAGGTTTGTGTATTCAATCAATATGCCATAGTATTATAGTGTCCCCCATAAGATGACAATTCAGTTTTGTACCAGTGTATCAGCTATCTGAAACATTAAAAAAACCCAAAAACTTTAAGATGACTAGATCTTTCTTAAACATATCAGGAATAACTTTCTTCTTCTCGGCTTTTCCGTACTCCACAATTGAATGTCTCCTGTTCAGTTAAATTCTAATTTTTCTTTCTCTCTCATAACGAGTACAAATCATTCCACATTGAAATTAATAATGAGCATCTTTAAATATGAACTGTTATCTCAGACTTTTAAACCTTCCTAGAATGGTTTTCTAAATTACTAAACCCTATTTGAAGGTGGCTGTCAGGAAGAGACTGAGTTCCACCTTAAAGACAAAGAAAGTTAAGTCCTAATGTACAACAGAGGGCAGGTAATCAGGAGTACTGAAGATAATTTGGGCAAAACCTTGAATATATAGTAGAGTAGAAGTCATGTTGTACAAGCGAAGCTAACTGAAATGAGAGGGGACAACTCTATCCAGTTTTACAGAGCCTTCCAGTGTTGAGGAGTAAAGGAAACATAACCTCTACAGTGAAGAAGCTTATAATCTAACAGCAACAATTAGACACTCACGCTGCTAACTGTCATGGGTCAGGACAGCGGAGAGGACCCTGGGTTTTGGAGTCAAACAGATTGAGCCTTTGTTTGCTCTGTGGCATTGAACTTGCACTGCTCTGTGACTCAGTCTCATCATTTAAAACTTGGTGAAAATAGCACATAACAAAACTGATGGGAGGCTGAAATAAATTAAAGCCATGCATAGGACATGGAACTGTCTGGTATATAATTTTCATGCAGGACTCTCTCCCCCCAAAAAGCAGGTAATAGCACTTGTTATTTGTTGTGAACTTTGTTATCCTGTTTGCTCAAAAAGCTAAGCTCTTGAAAGTCAAGTTAATTTTCATGGACGAATTTGTAAATTAAAATACTAAAATCTAATCTTGTACTAAAACAAATATAGTCTTACAATATGAATCAAAACTTTTACACAAATAAAGATAAGGTGAGAAGGGAGTTCAAAAATGGGAAAACGTTGCTATTCATTAGTATTTTTTCAGCTAATTGAGAAAAGACTCTTATTATTGGAATTTAGAGGCAAAAACCTCAGGTTCAGCTCAAGGAACAGTAATGTTCCTTAGAATCATAGTTTAAAAGCCACTAGAAGCAAAGCCCAAATAAAATAGGAATTGTTCAGTATTTTTAAGTGTGAATTCTTATAGAACTGCTTGCTGGGTTTTTTTTTCCCCCCCCACACAGTTAAATATTTGAGGTGCCCCTATGCATCAGGACAGGGAGAAGGGATGAGGATGATATTAAGATCAGCAGTCATGGTGTTCATCCACTCTCAAGTTATCTTTCAGAAAAGGAAATGTGGAAATGAGGAACATTTCAGTACATCTTAACACACATAAAGGCAGGTACCACTAAAGTGTTTCAAGTAGGTTATACATGGCTTATGGGAGAACACACACCAATGAAAACATACACCAAAGGCTAGATCAAGACCCCATTTTATTTAGCTGACACTTGAAACTGAACGGAAGCCAAAGAGAAAGCTACTAGGTGCAGGAATAGAAGAGTCCCTGACTGGGTGTGTAGCTGCTGGTGACTATGTCCTCACCAGATAGGATCTTGCCAGATCAAGATACGCAAAATTCTCACTAGAATATTCTTGATTTACATTCAGGACTTATGCCACATTCAGGAAAAACTTATACACTCACTGACTGTACAGACTTTTAGGAAGATGGCAAGATTCATCAGGTTATAACAGGATTTAGGGCAATTAACACCAGTCAAGCCACATCCTCATAAGAGAAAGTGAAGTCAGTTCCCAAGCGTCTATGAATGATGGCGCATCTTCTAATTCTCCAGTAATCATTATTTTAATGGTGGGGCAGCTGGTATTAAATGGGGTACAGGTACTGATCCATGTCCCCCTTAAATGTCACTAAGGAAGCCAAGAGGAGGGTCGTCTAATTCAGTTTGAGGAAAACAATTTTGAAAGTGGCAGACATTAGTTAAAGTGTGAAATTGGTATACCAATGAATCAAGCAAGATATAAACACCAACAAAAATGTAAGGTGCTGTATCTATAAGCTTCTGCCTCTTTGTTATAATCACACTCTCCCTCTCCCTCTCCCTCTTCTTCTCAGTGGATTTTCATTTGGAGGATACGTTTGAGCTGGAGATGGCTGAAATGACAGGTGACACCATTTAATATTATGCTTTGGGGTTTTGAAGGATAGGCAGTTATAAAGATTGAAACCAAGGTCCTGAAAAAACCACGTAACATATGATGCTGCAGGCAGCAGGGAAAACAAACAATGGCTTCAAACATAAGCCCCACATCAAAAGTCACAAGGCACATGTTCTAAATTGTACGGGGAGCAGCAGCAGGAATTTATTTATTTAAAGATGGTTAATGATTCTCCTGAGCAAAACCAGAAGGCCAGCTTGTCACCAATATTGGTGTCATTTCATCCTAGGGTGACTGACACCTGGACAGCTCTCAGGGTGGGGGGCAGGTCACAGTGAAAGCGCTGACAAGACATTCTGTAAGAACTAGAGGACCTCATGCACAGAGAGGCTAGAAGGGCAATGTGGAGAAGGTGAACAGGGTGTCAGCAGTCACAGGCAGAAATGGAGAGAGAATATGGAGGAGGACACAGGAGAATTCAGAAACTGACTACACATAAAAAGCAAAGGAGAAGCAGCATAAAACAGACACCTAAAAATCATTCTCATTTCTGGCTTGAAGAAGAGCAATAGGGAGGTTT